AAAATACACGATACATGGAAAAAATTATTATTTAAAAGAGTTTTTTTCATTAAATGTATTTACCCGACCCAAATTTATGTGGGGTTTTTTTTTCCCTATTTTGCATCAATTTTAATTTTAAAAAATATGTAAAAGTGACTAAATAGTTTTTCATCTCCCACTTCTCGTTGTGTTTTGAGGGGTTTCGTTGTTTTATATAATTTAAACTGCGTCATTTAAAAAACCCAAAATAAAGGGTTTTTCGAAAAATGGAAAACAGACCCGCCCGCCCCATCGGCGTCTGATCAGGATCCTGTGTTTCCCCTATCAGTTTTATACTTGTTATAGGGTTTTTTAAGGGGAAAAGAAAGGAAACCCGATCAGACCGGCGGTAAAAGGGAGGGGTGGTCTGGAAACCTCGGGCGCAAACGCAAAAAAAGTTGGTTTTTTTTCGTGACCCCGGTTTTTATCATTTTGGTTCATCATACATTTGCGAACTTCTTACATATTTAATGTCATAACTTGTTTTCAGAAATGGTTTCAAACACAAACCTATTGGTCGTAAACTGCAAACCCAGAACTGTGCATGTAACTCTAAAGGCCCACTATCTCGTTGCGAACAAAGTGGGAACGGCTCGTGTATATGTAATATACTTTTAACCAAGGTGTCCACTTGCAATGATGAACATTGACGAGAGTGCAGTTTTAAACCCTTCTATATGTAATAGAACAAACGAAGGCGGTGTTGATAAATATTATCGGAGGCTTACGCGTGCTCTTGTAGAAAGAGGCTATGAAAGAAATAACGACACTTGGGTCGAATTGCGATCCCAGGTATTATGTTTTAATAAAACAAACTACACTTTTTATTTATTTATTCCTTTCCACGTTACTTAATCATAAATGTACTTCCCCCGTTCCGTTTTAGAACTATTTAATTAAATTTAGGGAGATATCAGGATTGAAAAATGAAAGTTTGTCATTACAACAAAAAGCTCCATCGAGTCTGGTTTACTAGCCGTTCTTATCCTAAGGCAAAGTCCTTATCGTTTATAATCATTTTGGAAACGGGCAACCATTTTTTGTGTCCGGGCCTCTTACGGAGTAGTGGCGACATTATTAGGGAACCACTTCCCGTCTCTTCTGCGTCTGTCCGTCCGTCACAAAGCTTTTGTCCGGGACTACTTCCCTTATAAACTAACTTGTGCAAATTTCATGCCAAAACTTTACGGAATAATCAGTACTAAAGTCAGTTGTCATATTGTCAGGCATTTTTTCGGGTTTCAATGATTTTTTGTCAGGGAAGTTTTGGCCCCCTTTAATAATTTCTATTTCCGGACTTTTTCTTGTATTACCACTAATCAATTTCAATGAAAACTGACCAGGATTGATCCTGTCTTCAAGTTTCTAGCGGCATATTGCCCCGGGTTTTCCGGTTTGAATGAATTTTTTTGGCCGGGGTTTATGGCCCCCTTTTAAAAAAATGTTTTTTTTTCTTTTTTGTTGCAGAAAAAACCCAAAAAAACTTTTTGGGCTTTTTCCTTCCCTAAAAATCTGGTCAATTTTATCCAAAAATTTACAGGAATGACAGTAAAAAGGGCTAGTTTGCACTGTCCCTCTGTCGTCCCTTTTGTACAAAATTGTTCCCAACATGAAATTGGGCCCTCATGAGGCGGGCAAAATGTTTTAACACTGATTTGCTCTTGTTGTGTTAAAAAATTTTTTTTGCACAATGCCCCAAAGGGGTTTTTAAAATGTTTTGTAAAAAAATTAAAAATGGGAAAAATTTGTTTTTTTTGTGGAAAAATTTTCCCCCCCCGGTATTAAAAAATAAAACATTTTACATTTATATAGATACAAGTGCTAATTGAAAAAAAATGTTGTATTCAGATTATTTCTGCATTACAATTTGAATAAGTTACCCTATTCATACAAAACATTAGTGACCATGTCAAACAAACCGGTCACAATGTGTACCCTGTACGGCGATCACAAGCATGTGCACGGAAGCATATACTACATACTTTAACTTGTACGTGTACATGTTTATCCACCGTAAATCATTTTGAAACATCTTTTAGAACTTTGGTGAAACGGGTTCTTTTCTCTGAATATTATTTTGTTTATATTTTTGAAAATATGTTTTTGTTTACTTGCGACTTAATTTTTATAAACTGTCGATTAATAAACAATGTTTTTGTTAACTATTTGTTGCCTTGAAAATCACCGTTTATTTTGTTTTATCTTTCAGTTACAACAACAACTACAACCACGCAGATTCCAAGTATGTGTTTTAAATATAATTCCCTTTAATACATTTCATTTAATCGAAATTTTTATATTTATGAAACCGATATAAACACAAGTTAACATTGGTTTCTTCAATTTATGTTCTCTTTGTTTATAATTTTATTACAATAATTAAGCATCTTTGTGTTAATAAATCATTTTCAATTTAGCATCTTTGTGTTTATTAATCATTTTCAATTTAGCAACATGGTATTTATAAAATGGTTTTACTTGAGTTTCTTAGTGAGTGTACATTTTATCATGATAATTGTGAAAGATACAATATGAAATTGTTTAATAATAATAATCACTGAATCAAATTACGTTGTAATATAGAGGATATTTGTTTGTTTTGCATGTAAGATTGAAATATAATTTCACTGAGTGAACACCAGATGCAATATTTTCACGAGTGGCGTAGCCACGAGTGAAAATATAATAGCTGGTGTTCACGAATGAAATATATTTCAATCTTATATGTTAAACAAATAAATTTTCTTTTTATTTCATGCTTTTTAAGTGATTTTTTTACTGATTTTGCCGCGTAACGTCGCGCATTCTCCTTTTTGACGTCATCACATCATGACGTCAAATCATCAATTTTGAAAAATAGTTCTGTTAAATTTCTCTAACTTTGTTACATTTTTAACATGATGTATGGTGACATCGACTTTCTTTTCCTAAAGAAGCAAAAATTTACGCATGACGGCATTTATTTCTGCCTGCTATTCCATTTAGTTATGATTTTTTCTTTTCATCCGCATTCAGATAATAGTTCGGCTACAGTGAAAATTATATTTTATAAATTTCACTAGTGGTTTATCAGAAATATAATCATCTGATATATTACAATAAAACACTGGAAAGCATTAAATAAATTAATATAACGGATTTTACATGATTTTTGTTTAATTTGACGTCAGCAAAGTTAATTTATACGTTTGCAATTGCAATAATATAATTTCTATAAAAAGACAACATCTTTAACATATTCATAATGGTAATTTAAATCATACAAGTAATATACATTGGTCATATTTTCACACATTTTACGTATTTCAGGTACCCAGACAGTGACAAGAGTGAAAATAAAATTTGACATCACATTAGGTCCTAATGTGGATCTAGAAGGTGAAATAACATATGAAAAATACAAAAAAAGAAGTTAAAACCAGGTAAAAATAAAACAAAAAATTTCCCGTTATTTTTTGCATTCATCCATTGCTTTTCGTTAATAAGGGTAATGTCTATACCTCATGTATACAGACTCAAGTACCCCGTGCATTATTTCAGTCATGATAAAAACGCTTGATTTAAAATTACATACTTTCATGTAAACTTTAACTGAAATGTTAGCAAATATTTATTCAATTTCAATAATTCAAATAAAGATGAAGAGTTTCTAGATACATTTTTTGTTGATTACATCAGGAATACCTGCATGGCATTACTGTGGACTTCTTAATTAATAGTTAGATTGATGTGTTAGCAGTGTGGTGTTTTTGTGTCGCCGCTACAAAGTAGCAGGGACATATAGTGATCTCTGTTCCGTCGTCTGTCTGTCCGTCACAAACATTGTCGAACTACTTCTTAAACACTGCTGGTGTAATTCCACCAGGAATTATCAGTACCTGTTAGTACATTTTTCAGTTGTATGATTTTTGTCAGAGTTATGGGCCCTTTGTTTCTTTTGGTTTTTTGTTTTGCCTACGTCTCTTTTACCAGTTATGCAATTTAAATGAAACTTCATAGGATTGATCGGTAACTCAAGTACTAGAGCATTTTGTCTTTGAGTAAAATATGCATTTTGGCCTGATTTTTGTGTCTCCTGCTACACAGTAGCTGAAACATGCTACAAAGTTAAGCCGCGGACGTATAGAGAGCAAACTGGCCAATCAACCAGCAATACAATCAAGCGATAATTACTGACCGTTCCTGTATTATATTTTCAACAAAGAATAAAACGAAAGTGTGAATGATTCAATAAGGGATAAGTATGGTAAATGTATGTTCACAATATAATTATGCCAATATCAAAATAAGTAAAATAACCTTTTCTTAATAGTTGTTTACACACGATGTCGTTTGTTTCGCATTTAATTTGATAAAATATGTCATATCATTTTATCCTACTTGCATATACTAGAAAATATATCATTGTACTTTTCAGCTGACCATAAAGTATAAAGTCAAGCTTGGTAACAGAGCATTTACAATTGTCATCAGATCACTTGTGTAAGTAGGATCAACTTCCGGTGCAAAAAGGATAAAAGCATTTGAATGCAAGCTTTCAGGATATTGTTACAATAAAATACCCGACCTTTCTATTTTAGCTCCACTTTTTGGGGATAATGTGAAGCTAATGTTATTTTTCACTCGTTAGCATCGGCGTTTATTAACCTTTTAAGTTGTTTATTGCTAATGACTTCAATAAAGCTGATATATGTAATATAATGAGTTCTACCTTCAAAGCTTCAGATCAATTGACAATGTCACTGGGACCTTTCATAACAAAACTGAAAGACTGGTCATTTAATCAAAGTGCATTGACTTAAGATCTTAAAATTTTGTATGTAAATGCACAGTGATACTCCCTGCCTATCATATATTGTGAAAATGACTAACAATTACTCCATATAAAATTTGAAAATGGAAAAAAAAATCTAAGATAGGTTATCTTTCTTGGTCAGGTTCTGAGTTTCTTGTGCCACATATGATATAAGAAACTATTTTTAATTCTATTAATTAAGTGACAAACATCACTTTGAATGTGACTCAATTGTAGGATGTGTACTTTTTTAAATGGAGGATATGTGTTTAGTTCAGTGTAAGATCGGAATATATTTCACCGAGTGAGCACCAAAAGGTATATTTCACGAGTGGCGCAGCCACTAGTGAAATATGAACTTTTGGTGTTCACGAGGTGGAATATGTTTCGATCTTACATTAAACTAAACAAATATTCTTTTAATTATATGCAAAGAAACGTTTAAAAGGACATTTTAACCTAGTACTAAATGAAAAGGGCGCCAAATAATAGTACTGAAACAACGTAACGGGCTCAAATATTCACAACAGTGAAATTATCAAATTGATTATTTCCTTGTTTAAAACAGTGAAATTATCTGTTTTTATTTCACTGATATATTTCTATAAACCATCGAAAAGCATGTAATAAATTGGTTTATTTGCAAATTGTTATTTGTCATAATTAGAACTGGTACACAACACTGGAGGTATAATGTGTATAAAATTTTAAAAAAATATATTAAAATGTGGAAAATGGTGCATAGAGCTTTAAATGAAAATTATTATGAGTAGTCTTCTACATTGTCCTTAATACTTTTGTATTTTTGTTTGTTTCCCGATGTACATTCATTCATTCATTCATTTATTTATAAGATCAATATCAAATTATTATTCCTTATTTGCTCTCCGTCAATGAGTGAATTTATTTCATCAAAAATGTGTATGGCCTTCCTTAATCTTTCTTCAGAAAGGGCAGTCTTGATGTCGAATATGACGTCATCACAGGCAAAGAAGACGCTCCGAAAGTTGCCGAGGCCAATAATGAGATAGCAACAGATAAAGTTGGCATTACCATATTTAATGAAACTACACTACCAGAGGAGATGATAGTGAACGAGCAAAAAGGTAACATCAAACCAACATTTTTATTTAAGGACTTGTTTAATTACTATTATTACATATACTACTATTAATATTATAATTACATGTACTAGCATTACTATCATAATTACTGTTATGATAAATTGATAATTATCATTACATATATTATTTTATCATTACTGGTATTATTATTTATACTCTTTATTTCCGCCTTTCAGCGATTACAACATTATTATTATTATTATTATTATTATTATTATAATTATTATTATTATTATTATTATTATTATAAGTATTATTACTATCATAACTAGTATTATTATTATCATTACTGGTATCATTATTATCATTATGATTATAATTACTAATAATAGTATTGTTATTATTACTTCTAGTATCGTTATTATCATTACTATTATAGTTGGTTTTTTTTCAATTTTTACTGTTTTTCTTTTTCTTTTTTGTATATTTTTGTTCCGTTTCGTTTCACTTTTCGTTTTTTGATAGGTTTCTGTGTATAATTTCAGTTCCGGTGAATGTTCCAAGTACAGATGCTGTAAAATGTCAGATATACGAGGCTACAACAGGGAAATGTACTGGGGATTATATCTGTGACGTCAGAGATGGAAGTCCAGGCTGTGTGTAAGTATGAGCATGTAAATTCAAAAAACGTTCAATATAAATTGTTTTTGTCAGTGCAAAAGTATTATTTATTGTTTTGTCTGTAATAATGTAAACTCTGAATAGTATACAGTAAAGTCCCTCTATTAAGACCACCTATAGGACAGGAGCAAACTGGTCTTAATTGTGGGATGGTCTCATTAGTGGATAATTTTAAGGTAAAAGGGATTTTTTTATTCTTTTAAAAAAAGTTTAATGATTGAGACAAGTGCCCCATTTGTGTTAAAATTCTAAAAGTTTTTATTGACCGTTTACAGGGGTGGTTCAAGCCGGTGGAAAGGGGTTGACCTGCAAGTGTGGTCATTTTGTATGAATATGTTTAAACAATAAGTATTGTAACCTTCAAATGTGAAGATGTCAGAGGCCTTATGTTTAATTTGATTAGAACATAATGCTATTCCGGAGACATAGATATTAATGATTAAATTCTCATTGGTCTAGGTTCAGTGATGTACATTATTCATCCATCAAATAAGTCTTTAGTTCTTCACTAAATGTATGTGCAGAAGGCAACTTTAGTCAAATCTAAAATCTATTTTCTCACCTTACTTTATAAGCGAGATGGTCCTAATCAAGAATCCTCTACCCATTAACATAAAGAACAGAAAAAAACCTTTCTTTTAAAAAATGGTCTTGATAGTGGGATGGTCTTAATTCCGGGGTGGTCTTAAAATGGGTTTCTTTGTACTTTATTACTGTTTTCGTTTCTGGTATGTTGGTGAAGAGGTAACAATCATTAACTTTTATATATTTTCTTTTTCAGACGGAAGGATGATGACGGTAAGACACATAGTACACATTTATTTAAGTCAATCTTAATTATATTCCAAATCAATGCGAACGCTCACTGTAAATTGTAGACATCAATTTGCTATTTCCTTACATAAAATAAAAAAAAAATCAGATATTATTGCATATGAGGAAGCAAGACAATTAGTCCTACTTTTTATCCATCGTAATTCAATAGTAATTGGAGATTGAAATTTATCTTAATTTACTATTTCTAAATTAAGGAAAATCTTACGTTTTAGTTAGTTTTTGTAATAAAGAATACTTAAGGGTCTTCTCTTACTCATTGCTCCAAATATTAAAATTTCAAGAAATTATTACTTTTTATAATTTTAGAAAAAATATAACATTAACTTAATTGTATTTTAGTTGGAGTGTTATATAAAATGTATTTATGATCATATTTCAGATAACCTAGGTTTAATCCTCGGTCTAGGTATAGGAGTACCAGCATTACTTGTTGCCCTGGCTGTAATAGTGCTCTGTGTAGTCTACTATAACAACAAAAATAAACTTCTACGCCGCAAATACAGGTACAAACCATGATTTGATTCACTCTGCAACTGAGATTTGTATGTATATACTTAAGTTTAGTTATTGTCTTTAATAATAGTTACTTTCATTGCATAAGTTCTGACTCAATGATCAATAATTATAGATAGAAATCGTTTTTTGTTGTTACTGTTGTTTGTTTTGTTGGGTTTTTTTGTTGGTTTTTGTTGTTGTTGTTGTTGTTTTTGTTGTTGTTTGAGTGTCCAAAGTTCTAAAATGTTCATACTCTTCTGGCTTTATCATCATATGCTATGTTGATATGCCATAAAATCCATTTCATGACATGAATAAAAGAATTATTAATATGACCTCGTGTGTACTATTTGATGGGATATGTGATGTGTTGGTATGGCGTATGGTTCTTCCTCTGACTAAATATGTGATGTGCATTTCAGGAAGTATTTACCTTATGATATATTTATAAATTAATTTTCTATACAATTCAGGGGTGACGACTATGACGAAAGAAGTAATGAGATGTACGACCGGAAGTTGCCTGTTCGAGCCAATACTGGCCCCCCGACCTGGCCGTTCATAGCGTCCCCGGAATACGCAGAATATGGTCCTTACTCTGATTATTCTAGAGATGGTGGACAACGTTATTTACCATCTGAAGATTTCCATGGACAATATGATAACCGTATGTAATAAACATGTACTCTAGTATTCCAAACATTTACTATTTATTGTACTACTATTTTAATTCACATTGATAGCCGTGCGCCAGTGTGTTTGATATTTTTTGGAATGATTTAACTATTTTTTCTGCTATGAGCATTATATGAAATCCATTTGGAAACAGTCTGTGAAATTACTATGAAAATTAAAGGTTGGCAAGGCAACATCAGAGGACATGGTCACGTTGTACGAATGTATTTATTTATTTATTTATTTACTAGTATTTATTAATTTATTTATTTATTTATTGTAATCTTAGTTATATTTATATTTTCAGAAGGTGCTCACGACCGTGATAGTAACAATTATACCTGGGACTATTTGTTCTCTCACCTGCGCCCTGGTGAACAGGTAAATGATGATATCTACTTGTAAATATTATCTCTTAATTTGCTGAATAACTTGAATGGAATTGTCCAGCTTCCATTTTGGAACCGTTCATTGTCAAATTTAGGGATTTCAAAACGGAAATTTGTAGATTGTCAGCCAACAGTTTAGGGCGTCGTCAAATTAAATGGTAGTGCAGGCTCTCTGGCTCTATGCTGTTTGGAAAAGGCTAGTCCATTTCGGTTTCAGCAGGTTTGCATATCCACGAGTGACACGTCTCGTGAGTGCCAAAAAAAACGAAAAGAAAAATGATTGCTAAATAATGGTCGCCGCATTATACTTAATTAAATTTGTAACTTTCATGTCCCAATTATTTTCATGAATTATCAACTCCAATGGCTCTTACATTGAAGCAAATTACAATAATTTAATTATTATATCAATAATTCTACAATGTATTTCCTTACAAATTATCAAATTTTAATTCTGCATGTGACTTTAAGTTTACGGCACACCGAAATTATGATGCAGCAGAATTACTTTATATGAAAAAAAATTGAAAATTGCTTTATAAACTGACAGCTTCTGTGTATATAGATTATATACATGTCACATTATCAAATGAAAAATGACGTCACATACTAAATCTAATGCGATGAGATTCTTTACTAAAGATATTTGATATTGTGAAGCGATATGTCATATTAAGCCATATTTTTAGAACAACTATTTATAATATAGTCTTGTTAAGGTCTCAAAAAACTATTCCTTTTATGGATAACTTTGATAATTATATTTTTCATTTTTAATTATGTTTTTAATTATGTTTTATATAGCGATATTACCCTTATTACAACTAAGTGGTGAGCATTTTATTCTACCGGGCTACAACTAGGATGTTGTGTAAGACATGTAGACCCCATACATTAAAATTTTATACATTTTGTGTATTTTATACACCGAAGATACGATATTTCCTTATTAATGTGAAACCTTGTCTAATAAACACAAATTATACATTATAGTATATAGTTAAAGTGCACAAAATGGTGATGGGAAGTTTCAAATTTTATTACATGTATATTCAAATTTTGTAATTGTGTCCACAATATGTGTATATGATACAAAAATTAATTCATAAATTGGGTATGTCTTTATGGCATCAATATTTAATACTAAACGATGGAATTTAGAGATATGCTAGTATTGGATTCTATTTTTGGTTCACTGTATTTTCATATTTATGGACTTTTATTGAAATATCTGCTAACACTTGATGTATAGTTTTGCAAAGGGTCATGACGTTACACTAACAAAACTTTTATTTTTGTAAAGGTCATGGTGAACGGTGTATTTATATTTACTGATGTCTTTATTATGAAAAATAACTTTAAGAAAAAGATCTATTTGTATTTTATATTATACAATACCTGATGAATGTAAGATAACACTTTTAATAATATTTCTAGACAGTAAAGACTTTAATGAGCAAAAGGTGCCTTTTTGTATGTATATTATTATAGTTAACAAAGATATTTGATTATCCGATAGCAATCTCATTTTAATTGTTTTCTGCATTTTTTTCAGTACCAAATAAGAAGACCAAAAGTTGATTACAAGTGATGGAACTAACATAATTGTGAACAAAATGAAAATCAAAGAAAAACGACAATATTGTTTGGTGCACAATCAAATTTTATCTGATCTGAAAGTATTGTTTTAATTTGATCTGAAAGTATTGTTTTAATTTGATCTGAAAGTATTGTTTTAACTAGATCTAAAAGTATTGTTTTAACTAGATCTGAAAGTATTGTTTTAACTAGATCTAAAAGTATTGTTTTAACTTGATCTGAAAATATTGTTTTAACTAGATCTAAAAGTATTGTTTTAACTAGATCTAAAAGTATTGTTTTAACTTGATCTGAAAATATTGTTTTAACTTGATCTAGCTTGATCTGAAAGTATTGTTTTAACTTGATCTGGAAGTATTGTTTTAACACGCACACCGACATTCATTTTTTGTAGAATAAATGAATTAATATGATTGCAAATTAATTTTTTTCAGTTATCATACAATTTCAGATAATTGTTTACATTTTCAATGTTTCAAAAGGAAATTTAACCCTGTTATATCGTATGATTATTTTAAAATTAATTTGCTCATACGCATTACACATGGCATTTATATCGTTTTGTTGACGTCATATTCTTATTAATCATACCTCAAATATCGTCCATTTTTATCTATATTTATTAATCAGAACTTTGACAATATTCCGTTTTTTTTTTTGTCCGGAAACAAATTATTATTGTTGTCATAAATAGTAAAACAGATATCATCGTGTAAACCACGTGATCGAAACGGTTGTAAATTGTTATGGGTATAATCATTAACTCAGTCAGAGTAGAAAATGAACAATTGCTGGCATTTTTTTAATTTAAGTTTTCCAGTGTAAACTTTCACTAATTAGAAACTGAAAACATTTTTGTTTACATCCTTTTTTAATTTATCTTTCGCTATTTTCACTTTCGATTAATTTAAAGGATTACAAAAACCGGTATTAATTATGCTTATAAATATCAGATAAAAAAAGAACCTTGCAAAAATAATTGTTAGAGGTCAGTTGTTAATAGTTGTAGATATTGTTCAATATAGTATATACATTTACATAATAAAATTGTTAATATTAATAATATGTATACATTTATTTAATTACATTTAGAATATAGCTGCCGATTTTGAAATTAATCAGACGTCAACTTTGACTCCTTATCATGCTTAATATCTTAAAATGGACTTGTCCATCTTTAATCTGGACAAAAACCATTCACTTGTAGGGAAAACCTTAAAACATGAATTGTAACGAACAGTTCAGGTGACACGGCTGTTCCGGCTGAACTCGGTCTGCGCTGATCACGTGGGTTGAATCTAATGTTGTTACTTTTTCAATGTATGGTTCAAAGCATAATATAGCTATTAAGAGTGTGTATTCTATGAGTTCTATTTTTAGCATATTATTTTTCTGTGTTAATTAGGAGTGTTCAATCATACTATTTTGAATATGTCATAATAATTTATTCACATATTCATTTTAGTCTCTATATATATTTGAAGTTATAGGAATACATTTGATAAGTCTTGCCATATTGTTTTGTTTATAATACTCTAGAAAATATCTGTATATTTGCAGTTCTTAAAATAGACCGATATACAAAAAGTTAGACAATTCTGTGTTGTCATAATATAAGGTTATAATGTCCGAACATGTGATGTCCGAACATGTGATCAGAACTTGTCTTATAATTTATAAAAGATCTGCGTAAATCCTGCTTCATTTTAATACCAAAAAAAATTATTTAAACAAATATCGCTTTTTATATCGTTCTTTATAAATTTTAGCTTTAAAGAAAAAACACACATGATGAAATGAAATTACACCAAAAACATGGGTGCTAGGTCATGAAAATGTGACGTAATATACATGTTTAAAACGTCATCTTGTTAGATGAGTGTGTGTTTTCGTGTCAAATTCATACTTTGTCATTACAATAAGCCATTATTTACATACATACATTCATACATTCCATTTGTAGAAAATATATTATAAAATAAAATTATTTTATTTTTGTATAATTTTATATACGAATAAATATTATATTAAAACATAATGATATGCCTTTCTTACTTGAATTAAACATTTGTGTTGTTAATAGTAAAATACAAATATGAAAATGGTATTCATTTACTAGTGAAGGACTATTGTCCAGACGCACAAGCGGACATTGAACTTCATTGACTGCTTTGTGTCTATGAAGGAAACACCCTAATATTCCCTAGAAGTGTTGGACAACTGAATCAGAGTCAGTGACTTTAACAACTGCCTCATATACCCCAAAATTACATCTTATCTTTTTTTATTTTCACTTGTTTTTAATTGTTATACATGTAATACTTTTTACCGAACTCGTCATCTCTCACAATTTATAGCGATAAAATTTAGACAAGAACGCTTACTGTAGCAGGTTTAACCGTGTTTCCATGGAGACACATTTTAGTTACCTACCTTTAAACATTATATTCAAGACTCAGTTAGGAGTTGTAACATTCTACAAAAGGTGCGAGGTTTTATATTCAGCATAAAGATGTTGTTAACCATAACCAGTATGATTCAGAGTAACATACATTATGCTTACACATTCAGCGAAATGTTAGTTTGACCATGATTTTTTCATTAAAAATCAGGCTCATTTGACCTTGATATTTTTTTCTTTTAATACTTTATAACATTTACATAAAAAGATTATTATGTAGCAGGTAGTATAATCAAATTCAACTCATCCTGATAAAACTATTGCATATGCGAAAAGCGTATGTTACAAACATGGATCCTTCCGTAGGAACCTGCCATGCCTTGAATGTAGATATTTAAAATCATTTATTGTTAATGGGTTTTTTTTCCGTTGGTATTTATAGCGCTTTTACATAAAAAGGCTTTGGGCTTTACATTATAAGCTGTTTACTTCTGCATTATCTTAACAGAATCACCATTTGTACAGACTGACGTATACATGTTCGGGAACAATTGTGCATATGTATATTAACAGATGCACATTTTTTCATCTGCCAAATTTCTATTTTTAGAGATATATACACTAAACAGATGTTAGGATGTCTGTGTATTTGAAATTCTTTTGGTACCTGTAGTTGTTGTTCCATTATTTCCTGATGTGTTACGTCATTATCAGTGTTTCCATAAAAAAACAGATCGAGTTACTGGGAGCGAGTAGGAGCACATGGTAGATACCGGTATTTGATGGATTCGAGATGAAACAATCTTTGGGATGATTTTTACGGACGCCTAAATACAATACCGCAAATATGTATGCATATTAGTGAAAGTATGAAGATTACCCTCTTTGATAAGAGATTGGATAAACCTTAATGTACATGTACGCATTATAACCCTTTGTTTTTGGAAAATTCCCGGTTATTTTGTTTTTCCCGGAAAAAGCGGAATGAACCAGAACTTTTTAAGGGAAAAAGATTTGTTAAAAATTAAACTTTTTGAGCCCTTAAAAACTTTCCCCAAAAAAAGCTTTATTATCTACTTGGGATAGGGTTTTCTAAACTTTTTTGTAATTTTTGGGGAAATCAACAAAAAAAATTGCCACATAAAAGTGATTTTATTTTCGTTAAATATTAAAAAAGTAATTTTTATTTATAAAAAACCCCTCCCCCATGGTTTTCTAGATATTCCCCTTTTTAATATATTTTGGGTCCCCTTAAAAATAGTTTGCCCGTGCCGGGGGTTTTAAAATTATTAGGGGCCCAAAAAAGAAATGCCCCCAAACCCAAAATTTAAAACTATTAAAATCAAAAGCCTGTACAGAAATGGGTTTTTTAAAAAATTGGGGGAAAATTTTAATCACTTCCGGTGCTTGAAAAAATAATAAGAAGGGGAAAAAGGGAAAATTTAAGGGGAAATCAAATAAAAAACCCTATGATTTTTGAATAACCCCCAATGTTTCCCTAATGTTAAAATGTACTACCGGGGAAATTCCCTTTTCCCCGGGGAAACGACCATAATAATATACTGTATCATTTTTTCCCTTACCCATAAGGGTATAGGGCCCAAACATTTTTTTTAGTTCCCAGCCCAAAACCCAAATTTTTAAAGAAAATGTTTTTTAATTCCCCAGGAAATTTTTAAAAACCAAAAAAAAAAAAAACGTTTTGAAATTTTATTTGTTCGGGCCCGGGCTTTAAAAGGGCCGAAATGGCTTTTTTAAGTAAATTTGGTGTATAGTACCCAGGTTTGAAAATACAATAAAAAAATTTACTTTCGAAAGTTTTTTCGTATAAAGTTAACAAAAACAACAAAAAAATTTTTGGGGAAATTTGGGAAAATTTTCATATCAGACAGTAAAATGTTCTTGAATAAAATATTCGTCATATAAATAGAGGAAATTCAAGTGCTTTCTATAAATATAGGATTAATTTTCATCGAGTGATATGAAAAAAGATATTTCATTAGTGGCGGTAGCTACGAGTGAATATGACAATTTTCATACTATAAAATGAGAATCAATCATGTATTTATAGAAAAAAAGCTTGAATTTTCTGTTTATTATATACAATTTCTCTCTTTTTGACATTACAAGTTAAAAGACATTCCCTAAAATTTGTGTACTGGCAGAATTTAGAACAAAGTAAGTAGTCCGGCAAGTGACCAGTGAAAAAAAAAGAAAAACGAAAAAAATGTGTCATTGCAGTGAAAAATAAATTTTTACACTGAAAATAAGGAAAATGAAAATACGCATTTTATTCATGAATATTTCTCAAGATTTCATTCATAAGTATATAATAAATGTTCATACTGTATCACATAGAAAATTATTAACATGTTTATTTCAGGCATTATGTATAGGATATCGACCGAGTACGAGGTCTTTCCTAAACAGAAAGATCGATGTACGAGGCCGATATCCAACTTACACACCGTTAAACTATTGGCTTGAGCTGCATTTGATGTAATGCACAAAGATTACTTTTAACACAGTGCATATATATACAAGTAAGCTTTTATTAACGTTCTGTTTAAATATATAATTTGCATTTAACTCTGCTTTTCCCTTTAAAATAATAATAAAAAAGCTAAGTGTGTAATCTGTCAATAATAAAGCCAATGGATCTGTAATAGAAGGTATGTAAAAGAATGAATAATTATGTTGATTGTATTTCGTATCAGACATTGTTGTTTCTAGGACATTTGCTGCCGGACAGTTGCCCTCTCGGACATTTGCTTCCTGTTTTTTTTTTGCTTATGGCGACTTGTCATATGTCAGAGGGCATCTCTTGTATAAATTTTAAGTATGTAATTTAACAATGGAAACGTTTTATTTCATTAATTTTACGGATGTTATTTTGTTTTGAGACACAGAATTAATGCGCGAAAGTTTAGTGTATTGAAGCATATAGAACGGAATTTCGACAATAGGGAGATGAAGTTTGGTACAATTTAAAACAATGGAATATTTCAACTTTTTTTAAAACTGGGGGGGGGGGGGGGGGGGGGGGCAAATGTACGCCTCTTCCAAGGATATGAAGGAGCAAATTCCACCACAGCAAACTTCCGAGGGGGCAAATGTCCGGATACCCAGGAGACACGAAAAGGCTTGCATTTTGAATATTTTTTGTCTGAGATACATGATCCGATATTATATTTTATGTAGCAGATTATAAATTGTTATCGATAAAACATGATCGTTTCAGCATATAAATTTGTATACTAAATCACCCTATAACTTTATTAACATTTCATTTAATCAAGAATTTTTTAATAATACAGTTTTTACCGTTTCTATCGGTATTTGAAATTATAATGGGTGATGTGCCCATTGTAGAACAAATCCACTTTAAGTACTTGTATATGCATGATACTATATAGCAAATTTTTGAGTATATTTATACAAAATTCTTTTAACGATTGTTGTGTTGTAGCATTCTTTGAGACTAAGTCCTTGCTTCGACGGTTTTCAGGGCATATCTGTTTTTGATTTTTTCGCCGCGTTGAATAGAACGGCAAATGCTGCCAACTCAGTAGAGTAAATAGAGGGGGAGGGGATAAACGGGGATTTAACAATCGACGTGATCCCGCGGTTGGGACTATTCTGCTATTAACCAGTGGGGTAGCTGCGGTTTTTCCAATATAAAGCCTATTCCAATGGGCGTTATTTTTAATCACCCAAATTCGTTTGAAACGGAAATATTCTCGTTACATTTTTTCAACATGAATGTTCGTACAATTTTTAATGTACTATGGAGGATTTTTCTAGAACGTTTTTAAGAATGTTTTTAAATGAATTTGAAGCTCCTATTTGTGTTACATTGTTGACTTAATGACAGAAGATCCGCTTACCATTAATATTCTCTTTGAAAAACTTTGAGATACCCTGATCCATAATTATTATTCAAATCATTTATATAGGGATGTTGGAATAATTGCTAAGTGCATTCATACAGGAATGTTATGACAATCATATACATTTTATTTCATTTTCATTTTCTATTGCAGATCATGTTGTCTTTGCATGCGCATAGGCAGGTCTATTTTTTCACGTGTTTTTCATGACCGGGTCTGTCTGACTAGAGCAGACCTGTGCACGTGCAAAAGATAGACCTCATAACGGACTTTCTTTTGTTTAACAGGTCTATCCGAAAAATATAGACCTGTCACAAACAATAGAGGAGGTGTGTAATTTATATGATTATCTATATTTGAAATTGCAGACCACTCCACTTTAAATAGGGGTTGTAATTGTAAAAAGTAAAAGAAATCCTTACATGAATTCATTAATAAGGTACCAGGGTTATGCAGTATGTGTTGTGTAGCCATGTTCTGACTTGGGTTCAAGTTTCCTGCCAGACATGCCCTTAACCATATCTCTTACTCATTTGTATTGGAATTCGAACATAATTAAGAACACATCATTTGTAAGAGGAATGTGGGCGTCGAAATTGTAAACTTAATGTTTACAAACAAAACTGAAAAAAAAACATTTATAAAAAATTCCACAGAGAATTTTTGAAAAAAGTAATTTAAATTACATATTTATTTAAGATAAATAGAAGAATGCAGATTGAAATCAGATCAAAAAAAAATGATGGA